TCACAACTAATTGTAGATTGTCTATTAATTATTATACGTTATTATTTATTTTATTTAGACCTCTAGACGATTTACAATTATATATATATATATATGAACAATCAACACGAATAACTAGATACTAAAAGTAACTAATCTGTAACTATTTGCACAGCCAATTACGCTTACCTATCAATTATAATATTATCAGTCGTATACTCGTATTTAATATGATATGAACTAGACAATAAGATCAATAATTATTATTGACCACGATGCAGGTAAAAAAAAAAAAAAAAACAAACGCACAAATCTCCTACCTTGACATAATAATATGACCGATATTTTATTATTGTTTTTAACTTGCACGCACGGTATTGGTATAGAATAGCCATAAGATTACGAATGCACACAAGAGACCTATCACATTGATAATTTAATTGGTAAAAAAAAATTTATTACCTAACACCTAACACTATTGTAAATTAATTACTATTTCATTTTAATTATAGGATTGTTTTCTCGTTGTAGTTTAATGCGACCGTAGTAATCCGAATTTGTGGTTTTCGCTATATACTAGTCATTCTATAAATTATACTACTGAATAATAGTATTGATAGATAAAATGTTTAGATTAACGAGTGTGAGTGGCTGCTAAACGGTTTAATATTCTTTTCAATTGATCGAGAAACCGTATGAAATGTGAGTTTTGAGGAAATGATTGAAGTTATCGTGAAACAAATGCACCAAAAGTAAAAAGCTAGAAAAAAGCAATTATTGAAAATGATTTCACGACATAAATAACTATATAATGACACTATAATAGCATACATCCAGAGCCGGCGCGAGCTATTTTGCCGCCCTGGGCTAAAATTATAAATGCCGCCTTATTAAAACTAAATAAATAAAAAAATTAAATAATATCATATGATACAAATTATGCAATAATATTGGTTTATCTAAAAACATTTATTTTCATAGTCATAATATTTTCGTCATAAACATAAAATTAAAGTATAAAATAGTCTTTACATAACACATAGATATAAATATACTAATACAATTATAAAATTGCAAAAGTTTTAGCTAAAATGCCGCCCTGCATACATCTAATATATTTATTTTATTTATAAAATAAATTATAATTAATATTTATTTTGATTATTTAATTTTATGAATTTCTTGTTATCATAAAAAAATTGATATAATATTTGAGGGGTGGAGTTGATAAAAATTCATAAACAATTATATTAGTCTACTGGTATTTTTTTTGCCTCTGAAACCTATCATCCAGTGACGTAGCGTGAACTTGATGGCCCTATTTGACGAGAAAATTAAATAGTGGTTCTATGAGATAAAAAAAAAAAATACACCTGTATTATTATACTGCTTAAAATATAAAGTGTTATATTATATAATATAATTAAAAATTAACTTTCTTAATCTTCACTTTGAGCAAATGTGTCAATGACTTCATCCAAATTTAATTATTATGCCCACTTATTTTCGATGGAAATAATTGATAAACCACTAAGCCGCTCTTCTGACATCGTAAATATTTTTTTTATCGTTTTTAATTTTGAGAACAATCGCTCTGCTTCCGCAACAGTCATAGGTAACATCAAGTATAAAATAAAATCAGTACATAGGGTATGTCATTGTAACAGGAGCATGTTCAATAAATAACATTTTTGCATTTTCTTTTATTGTCTTTAATTTGATCGATATTATGTCTTTAAAACACAATCATAAAGGTAGTATCAGATGAACAAAATCTGGAGAAATATCTTGGTCATACTTTTTTTGTAATGTTTCTGCCGATTTGTGTATAATTCTTCATCGTTCAATTTAATTAATTAAATCGATTGTAAGCATTTAAAGAAGTGAGATACGAAATTAAAACTTTGAAATCTTCGTTCCATTAAGGTAATATTACGATCAAGTGTTATATTAAAAATTTAAATTTAAAATTTTTTTTCATGCGATTCTAACCTTTAGTCTTTATAAATCTCAACAAAAAATTTTTTTCATTATGTCTTTGATTTTTAAATGTTGGTGCTATACTCCATTGTCTCAAAAGATTTTTAGCTTCTGTAAAATATTCCAGAAAATGTTCTCCCATAATTTTTAATTTACTCGTTAATAAGTCGAGTAACTGTATGAAGATCAACATCAATTTGTTGTAACAATTGTGAGACACCATCTACTTTTCTTATAGTATATCGCTTACAATTACTAACGTTAAAACAAAGTTAAAATTTTCAAGATTTGTTCAAAATGTATTCAGCTTTTAAAATTTCTTAACTAATGACATTTAGTCTAAATACTCCGTCGCTGTACAATGTTTTTTATATTTTTTATAATTAAATTATTTTCAATGTAAATATTATAATAAAAAAAAATGTTGAATATTTTTTTATGTTATACTTCAGGTCCTGTGCCCCCCCCCAACTTGGACTTAATTTGGGGGCCCTGGTGCCACGGCCAAAATTCACCACTGGTTCGAAGGTTAGAAAGTAAAAAAATCTGATAATGACTTACTTTCGAGTTAAAAAAAAAATATGTTATACATTACCGTAATTTCCAATAAGTTATTAAAAACGAGCTGAACGTTTAAAAATACTTTTTTTTTTTTTTAGATAAGACTATGGGAGAACTAGTTAGACGGTGAATACAGATGGAACTTGTTTCGTACTATGATAGAGTGCAAAAACTTATCAATTTATCAACATTTAAATTTGTGACATTATATAGTGAAAACCTTGTCAAATAAAATTATAAAATTCAATAATCCTATTTATATCAGTATATATCATGCATTTTCAATGTAAATATTATTTAATAAAAAAAAATGTTGAATAATTTTTTTTATGTAATGCTTCAGGTCCTGTGGTACCCTAACTTAGACTTAATTCTGGAGCCTTGGGGCCCAGGCCCCGGTGGCCCCGGCCTAAATACGCCACTCCTATCATCTACAAAATAACCAGTATATCATACCAATATCCATTGGCCGTAATAATTATTAAGACACTGTTGATTACCGCGATGGTTATTCGCAATTTTCTCTTATACCTACATTTCATGTGTTGAATTTTAAGTTCTATAGTCATGAGTCAAGACTAGATATTTGTTTACATAATACACAAATAAAATAGTATAATCCGAATTCCGATCGATATCACGTGTTTGGACTTTTAATAATATAGTTCAGTGTCACAGTTGGCTACATCCGAAAGTTAAGTGATAATATGAGTACAGGAAAATGTTATATGATACCCAAGTAGAAGTAGGTATAAAGTTAATAGTATATATTATTAATTAATCGTCATATTAACGTATATACCATTCATCGTCGACATCCATTACCATCCGAATACCGAATACCTATTATTTAAAGCTACTCGAACTCCGACACCGTCTAAATACTATACAAAGTACAAGACATACGAAGGTTAAGTCAGGTATGAAAGTTAGTAATATTTTAAACTAAAAATGTATGAAATTAGAATACAAGTTAATTTCTGAAAGTATACTGTATAGGAATAAAAGTTAGAAGTCTTATTTTTTTATAATTTAAAAAATCTTATAAAAATAATTAATACCTATATAATGTAGTTTATAGCCTTATTGGTAATTATTACCCTGCAGCCTCCAGTCGCCAGTGCTATAAAAGATAAAGATTTTTGCAACGATTACAAAAATAACTATATAGTTTAGCATTTTTTGTTTTTTTATGTGTTAGATTAGATAATTTCGTGCATTTAATTCAATTCGATAAGTTAGAATGTTATTATGCATTAAATTATTTAGTTTACTTTTAAAGTAACTTTTTAACCTTAATTAACTATCTAACTAGTTGATGTCCATATTAGCCTATAGTCGATCGTAAATTGCCCGCCGCCACACGATTAGAAGTGGGAAACATAAATCGTAACTAATAAAGTAATAAAATAATTAATAACATACTGCACTGTAAGCATGGTTGAAGCAGCGTGTGTGGTTCTACGCACCAGTTTAGTGATCACGCGATTTTTTTTTTTTAATTAGCTATTTGTAATACACGCGGACCTTATAATTTTACAACGGTGTCAACTCGTAATACTTGATATTTGTATTGATATAATAACATACGCACTATCTAAACTATTCATGTTTACATCTGCGATATAAAGGACTGCAAAAAATGTAAAATAATAAAATTAATAATTTATTTTGTATTTTCATTCCGAAGTGCTCTTACACAGACTTTCAGGGACTGTTGAGATAAATATTGTGTCACGGACATTTTTATTTAGATGAATCCAATAACTATTTTACTGAATTTCTACAAATAGTTGAAGTTATATACGCGAATACGTGTGTCGTTATTATTTTTCTAAAAAATAAATAAATAAATCTACGTCGGATCTTAAGCGTTTAAAAACTGGCTTTGAACATAAAAATAAATATTTCGTCTAGCTCAACCAACAACACATGAATAACAAAAATTAATGAGATATTATTCATTTTGAAAGAAGACGATTAGCAATACCGACTGTAGTCGTTGTGCCGCGTTGTTTAAAATAAAATAAGTTTTGAATAGATTGCCAAAACAAAACGGAAAATGGGCTTGGGTTTGTTCCAACAAAATGTGTTAGAATGTTAGGACAATCATAAAAGCCACGCTAACCACATTCAAAAAAGACTACAGGTACCTATTTTTGAATGTGTGAAATAATACTTTCCTATGAAAACTTTAGCGGATGTCAAATTTATATACATCATTATTCATTATCAATTAAAATAAATTTAAACCAATAGAATTTCACGATGTTCACTTGCATTGTAAATATAAAGGTAACTATCATTTATTCAAATGAAATTAATCAAAATTTGCAGAAAATCCAAATAATAAGCAGTTTGTGTTTTAGATATATTTTAAAAATAGTTTCTTATAATTACTTTATAAGATTTATCTAAAAAAATAATAAATAAAAAATTTACTACCTACAGTATAATGTAATATAATGTACTGGTTGCAAAAAAAAAAAAAGAATTATAATAATAAAGAAAAAAACAATAGCCAATTTAAAGAAAAATAATGCATAAATGTAAGTATGAGTAGTTTATGTTACAGACTACATAAAGTACCTAGATTAGTAACTTAACAATCTATTGATAACAATTTTGTGTACTAATTAACAAAACGTAAAAAAATGAATATTATACAATGATAAACATCTAAAAACAAAATTGTAATACTATATTAAAAATGTAAAAGCAAAGTCACTATTTCCTTAGCTTTCCGTTTGTATGAATGTAACTAACTTGGTTAGTTTTATGATCACTAACATTCAGATCTTCATCTGGCCCTAAAAAAAATGTACAAAAGTTGCTACAACTATATCTTAAACAAAAATCTAATCCTAGCCTAATTTCATATCTACAATAACTAAATATTATTCTTAAAATCTACTAGGAAAGTGAAAATTACCTTTCAAGTAGTGACAAAAATTTTTTGACTTGTCCCAATCTTCAACAAGTGACAAGTTGAACATGGAATAAGCTGCGTTACCTGTAACCTCAGATTCAATGTCTAAGAATTTTGGTAAACGGTCAAGTAGCTCTTGATCCTCAAGAGCAGAATACGTTTCAAGTAACACTAATCCTTCACATCTAAAACCAAATAGAAATGTTAATGTACTTGAATTTTAAAGTTATTAACCACATACCTTTTATGACAAGGTTTACAATAAATGTCCAGCTGGAAATACTGATTGTAGTGTATAAAACATCGTCTTTTTTTATAGATTGGATAGTGAGTTTCATCTTTTTGTGACAACAGATTCACATAGTCTCTATGACTGAGCTGCGTTTTCACTTCAATTACTTGACCACGGACTCTAGGCCTGCGAATTGTGTGTGTATAATTCCAATGGCCTATAAAAAGTAACATTGAAGTTACAGTCAGCAACATCATGTAAGTAACAATAAATAAAGAACCTTTTTGTCCTCGTTTTCGTAAACGAGCTTGCATATTTTTAGTGTATGTCTGCAAATAATTGTGTACAACATCAAAATCTTGAAATGGAGGGAATAACTGATCATCAGGCAAATACTTCACTAACCATTTACGTTTTTTTGAGTTGGTTGCTAATCTATCACCAGTGTCTAAGCCCAATTTCTGACAAACAGCCTATAAAATAATAATAATAGAACATAAATATTTTTAAGACTACCAACAATTAACTTAATGTTACTATTTACAGCTATCATTCTGCATATTTTATTTTCAAAATCTGATGAATTATCAATAACATCAAAGTATGGATGCCCTATCCATGATGCTGACGCTTTGACATCTAGACTTTTAGCAAGAGAAACGTCCTCTCTCCTGCTCGTGTGATCCTAAAACAGATGCTAAATTAGTTAATTTTAAATACAATAGACAAGTTTATGACGTGTTTACCTCAGTTGTATAAAAGTCTTCAGCTCCACATGCAGCAGATACCATGTGAATAATTTGATTGTAACGATTGTCTCTCAAGTCAACCATGTTCAAACCATTTTCTTTCATTATCAGATCCCATTTATTGCTAGGTATATCTATAATAATAAATGCTCAATTGTTTGATATTGCTTAATTTAAACATTAGTACAAGTGTGTTGAGTAAACAAATAGTGTTTTAATTTTATTGAGCTATTGTAGTGACATATTTTTTGATCTAGATACTAGATTTTATAACTGTTTAGTAGGTATTTCTAATTAAATAACACAAACAAAATTTAAAAAACTTATATTTCAAGTGTATAAAATATTTATTTACATTTACTCTTTTATTTATCATATTCTATGTTATTGTATTTTTAATGAGAACACTATCAATAATTCAATGTCATACTTTGTTATGAACTAATTTTATTAATTGAACAGTATAAAAATAATTATTGAACAATAATTGATAAAAAAAAATAGTAGGAGAAGGGTCTACTATTTTACTGGTAATAAATAAAAAAATTGCATTTATAAACAACAATTAAAATTATTATCTATAGGACCAATAAAAATTTCATTAAATTACAATATTATTGATCATTGATCAGTGATTATTATAAAAATAATTGAAATGAATTTCTTACTTCCAATTATTATAATTTAAAATATTAAATAATTGTTGAGAAATACAAATGGCTAAATAGATGTTATGAACTAAAAAAAATGTATTAACCACGACTTAGTTAACATAACTAGGATGTAAACAATAATTTACCACACACATACATGTTTTATACTTTTTAAATATCAATAACACGTGTATTATTCTAATACAGAATTGTAACATTCACTATGAAGAAGATAAAAAATGTAATTTTTTTTTTTAAACTTTTTATTTTAAAGCGTACAATCTGTAAATAAATTATTACAATAAGTACGTATGCGGTAATATATAATATAGCTTGACATAAACGTGATAAAAGCAGCCACCCAATGGCGACACTTTATGACATTTTTTTGAATTTTTTTAATCGGTTAATTCTTATCTCTTTTGTTTTGTCATAATAACTATAATTTTTGTCGCCAACAGCATTTTTTATTTTTTATTTATACTTAAATTTATAATTACATATCATATAAAAAAATTTTATTACACGCAGCAGCATCCATAGCACCTCTGTCACAAATGATTAGACAGTCTTGGTCGCATGATTCGCCCAGTTCAAAAAACGTGTTTTCTATTTGTAACATACATCTAAGAAGGTTCTCTTGAAATTTATGGGCTGTAACAAAAAACAAAAATAATATTATGAGGCTAATGATAATAATTTCCAAGGACATGACATGTCTAAATAGCATCAAGCTTAGCTGCATCGGTTCATCATTTCATCGGTAAGAATTCCCCCTTCTCCCGTGACTTGATAATTTGTGAGGCTTTTAAAATCAATATTATTATACGAACCGTAAAACGTAACATGATACTATTTCAAAAGGAATATAATACAAATATTATGCGATTATATCACATTGCAAATTTATGATGACCTACTAAGTTAGATTAAAATGCAGCTTAGGGGATTGCTAAATAATTCATGGTCGTGATAAAGGAGGTGCATTAATTTTATTGCTGTATAAGAATAACAATTTGAAAACAGACGAAATATGACGTATACAGTATAATAAGCAATAGGGCGATAAAAAACAGTCATGCCCGGTATAAAAACCGCACTATTATGACTGAATTTTTTGATGGGTAGCCAAAAATAAATAAAAATATTTTTATCCTCACATTTAAAGGATATACCTAATTGAAACTCGCGTATAGCTTAACTAAAACAGATAAATGATTATATATTTTTTCGAAATGCATTACCTTGATCGTCACTTAATTCCGAAAACTTGATACCACCACTGTAAAAAAAAAAAAATAAATAAAAGGTAAACACTAAATATTAAAATCAATATAGATTTACTATTACTATATCATTAAAATTATTAAGGCACATCAGATGTATACAAATGTAATATTTTTAAATTTAACAATTTTTCAGGTTTTATTCTATTATAAACAAATAATAATCTATAAAATAATGAATTATAAAATCATGCTGATTATTATTTCTTATTTAAATCATACTTCTGATTAAGTATTAACACTATTCGTTTATGAAACATATGGAAAATAAAATGTTAAGATTTAATTTGTCGTTAAATAAAATAAAACTACAGGAATCCTATAAATTAATTCTTACAACTAATTTTAGACTAAAAAAACAATTTGTTCAAAGTCGCCTTGCCTTAAAAAAACCTTATATGTTAAGGTCGGCAAATATCAAAGATAATGAGTATAAGTCAATATAATTTTAAATAAATGGATTATGCAATAATATAAAAGTAAAAACTTCAGTTAAATGTATGAAACTTGAATTTATTTTTATAAATACTTAGATTTAGAACTTTAAATAAAATTTAATTATAAATTTACTATTAAAATTGGGGAAAAAAATTTTATAATTTATAAAAAAAATATGTGTTACCTTAATAGAACATTGGCAGTCTCTGGAACTCTGTAAACCTAAAAAAATAAAAATTCAACAAGATATAACAATGGAAATAATAATTTTAACATTTACCTTCCATCCTAAATTCTCAAAGAATGTGCATAATCGTGACTGTCCCGTTGTCTTGCCTCCACAAGGGCCTAAATTTAACAAATTACAAAAGTATGATATATTTTTTCAAATTAAAAAATGAATGTAGACATTTATATTTGAATAGAGTATATTAGTTTTGTAATATTAATGAATAATTAACTATATTTTAATATTTGTATTCAATTACTAGTAAATTGTACGAACGATTTAAATTATAGATAAAAAAATGAATTATGATAGTGAAATTTAAGTAAAAATATATTGAGTTTCGGTACATCACACACACGAAATATAAATTATCATAGAAAAACATGCTTATCGACAATAAGCAATACTAATCAATTTATATTTTAAAGACTCTTAAAGTATAATTTAATCAGGTAACATATTTCGTATTCATTTTTTAATGGCTCAAACACAAAAATACAAGTTTTAAAAAAAAAGTATATCTTTATTGCATATACTTAATATACACGCTACGTCAGTCTTATATAATAAATATATTTATATTACTCATTCAAGTAGATTACAAAATATTCACTAATATACAATTTTACTATAAATCTACCAAAATTGTCATTAAACTAAAAGCAATAGAATTTAACTAAACTAAAACAATATAGGTCACTATTATATTGGCATATACATTATACATTAGATATAAATATATATTTGGGACTAAATAAAATTATATCAATAAAAAAAAATAACTGTTAAAGTTTTAAAATAAGAAAATAAGAAAAGCATTTATTTTTATTTTTTTATGTATACATACAATATATATTATAATACGAAGATGGTATTATATAACGTGATATATTTGGACATTCGTGCAGATTAAAAAAATAATGCACAAAAATATTCAATTGTAAAAATTACGGACCACACGCATGATTTATGATATGAAAATTGTACAAATATATCTATCTGTTAATATGGTTACAACTTCAGTATATTTAGTATTTACCATTAAATAACCTTTATGTAATGACTACGAAAATAATTTACGACAAACCTTGAAATTTATTAAACACAAATATACAATAATCATGAAGTCCATCGATTAAAAATTTAAATATTTACTAAAACATTTAAGAAGTTGTGACATGCATAATTTTTAATAACGAAACGTTTTATACGTAAATGTTTAAATCGGTAGGAAATAGGAATTTGTTTTTGTTTATTGGTAGATACTTAATATATATTAACACAGGAAAAATAATTTTAAATTATAAATCAAAAACTTTTACTTTAAGTTTAAAAATATTAATAAGATAATCCCAATAAAATACCAATTGTTTTTCTAAAAATATAACTATAAAAGTACATCAAAGTCCAACTTTTACACAAATTTCAGACGCTTATGATACTTTTTTAGATGAAATAATTTATAGTTAACAGTTTTTATGAAAAATTAAATTTTATACATATTATTTAACTGTTGAATTAGTTAAATCTCATGAATAATAACTATAGTAACCGCATGTTATTGATAGTTATAAAAAAAATTCATTATTAACCTACGGATAAATATAATACAATTTAATTAATCACGCAAAGAAAATAATATAAAAGCGATAATATTTGAGGATCAATTGCAATCGCCAATCAATAATTAAGGTTAAAAAATCTCATTACTATAAGTATAAATTTAACATGACCCATATATTATTAGTAAAACTAAGTATAATTAGGTATGTCAAGTACTATTTTTAAATTTAAATTTAAATTTTCAAAACAAGAGATTTCTTAAGTATTTCTTCAATAAATTTAAGTTACAATATAATCTTTGTTTTGTTAAATAAATTGAATATTCAAATCAATATCACATTAATAACCTTTAGAACTGTTCACGCTGCCTTTAAGAAAAAGTGTTCTATTTAAAATATGCTATTATAATTGATACGCGACTCAAATAAACCAACTACCAAGTACTAATTAGTAAATAAACAAAAATGTATAATACAACAAAATTCATATAATTTAAATAATTTTTTTTTTTTGGTGACTAAAGAAAAAAATATACGTTAAAATATAATTATTATGTTTTACTAAAATCTACATTCTATAAATTAAAAAAAATTAAGTAATAATTGGGTTGTTTTATTTAAGATTATAATATATACACCAATAAGATTCTAACTAAATGATAGTGTAAGTAGAAAATTTAATAATTATTATTGCAATGATAAAAATATAGTTATACAATTTATATTTTTAAATATACCTTTTAATTTGATTGTAAATGTTGATATTCTTAAATTATTGTAAGTACTTTACGGAAAATATTTTTTATACATAATTTTTAATCAAAATAAAACACACTTATTTAAAATAAATTATATTTTTTAATATTTAGTTATCGATATAATTTCTTACGTTGGTTATACCCTTTTGAACGATAACATGCATTTTTAATTGTATATTCTGAAGCAAAATATTTAGTGAAATATTTCAATAAATAAAAATCAAAATTTAGATTAGTAGACTAACATTTTGCGAGGTATCCCCATCGGCACTCACTACACTCATCTAAACTTCAAATACTTATAACTTATAAACCAATCATCCGAATTTATATTTTTATGTATTAAATTACTCCGGAAAAAAATCTGCTTCAAAATAAAATATTTGAAAAATGTTATTTTATTTTAAGTGAAAATTATGTAAAAAAAATATTTTTAAAAACATTAATAGATTTTGAAATTAATATGAGTGTTGTTTGGTAAAAGAATCACCTAGTATAACATCATAATATTGTATCATAAACTACAATTCATGATAATAATATTATTATTAGAATCACAAAGTTTAATATAAGTATAATATAAATAAGCACAAAACAGATTCAAATTAGTAAACTGTATAACGTGTTTAAATTTAATTTTTACTTGTAACTATTAAATAATGTAATATTAAATGTAGACGTGTTTTTTTCCAACAAAACTTTATAAGTTTAATCAAACTACATGAATTGAAACTTAAAAATGAAAAATAACAAAATTATTGCATTGTATTTTTAAAAACCACACGAACAGATAACTACACTATATGAAAGATTAAAAGTAAGTAAAATGTAAAGCTGATAAAAAAAAAAAACCACAATTCAAATAATTTTTATATATTAACTTTACTAAATTGTAACGAAGATAATAATAAATAAATCATTATTACGGTAAAAATTAAATCAATATAATTATAGTAGGTAGTTAAGTACTAAAAACACCAAATGTAATAATTTAGATATATACATATTATAATAATATTGGTTTATTTGCAAAAATAATTTGTCAACTTGAAAAAAGCAGATCATATTTTCTACCAGTAATAAATTCACCACAAGATATGATGTGATTAGATTATTAATTGTTAATATTTTATGTATAGATGCATATGGACACGGTCATAAATGTCTAATTAGTAATTACCATTTAAATTACTTGAATAGCCTCTCAACCTACTAGTACTGAGTATAAAACGTAGGTATACGTACTAACTTATTCAGAATGGACGAATATTCTTTCAATGTCGTATCAATTCTGCATGTTTTTACAGTGATACTTTTTAAATATTTGTTAAAAAATATAATTTACTTAGTAGATATTAACCCAATAAAAATATTGATAAAATAAGTTGATTTTGTATCAATTAGTTATTGGAATTATAAATAATACACAAATAGAGCTATCACGAGCTACCATTATATTATATTATTTTTACATATAGTTAAATGAAAAAACTATAGCATACTATCAAAAATAACACTTATTGAAATAAAAATACACACATTAATTATTTAATTTTAAAGTAATAGAAAAATTAGAATATGTTATTTCAACCACTCTTAATCAATTACCAACATCGTTAAATTCATCACCACCTCCAGCCTAAGTCAAAAATTTAACAAATTAAAATGTATTATGAGTTCACCCATTATTTGTGGACACCCAAAGGCCTATGTTGCCAAGGGGTCTTTTCTCAATAAAAAAAAAATGTTATTACATATTAACATTATTCGTGTATTATTTTTTAACAAATAATAATAACAACCAATAGGCTATAGTTATCATTTAAATACAATTTAAACACGTATTATAATTTTAAGTTTAATAACTGATAATTTACGTATGATACAAAAACATATTTTTTTTAAATAATCATTTAACTATGTGTTCGTAACTAATTAACTAGTTATGTTCATAACTATGTATACAAATAATGTATATACCTATTATAAGTAGTCATTAATTTATTAACTTGATTTTAAACTTAATTCCGGCGTTTCAAGTAGGCAAATCACAATGTGTTATGATAATTATATTGCTAATTATTATAAAGATGAGCACTGACCTCACTTACTATTATAACTTGGGTTTTTTTTTTTTTTTGTTTGATAAATTGATAATTAATTATAAAACTAAATTCCTTGAGTTATCTAGTATATAGGTTACCAATACCTTATACCTATATTAGACATCATATTGTTTTTGTTATACTCGTTATTGGAACAATTAATTATTTATTGGAAACAACTATTTTTCTTCTTTAATGTTAGACAATTGTAAATTGTTTTTTGGTTTATAATGTTTATATGTATATCTAATGAAGTCTAATATATATCTAATTTTATAAAACAGTATTATTGAAGCCAAAATTCAGTTAACGCAAAATTAAATTAAGTGATATAAAAATATACTATTATTATAGTAATACATTACTATAAACAAAATATTGTACATTAATAGATATTATAATACCAGACATTATTTAGATATTAAACTATAAATTAAAAAATGTGGTTTACAGTCTACAAACTGAATTATTAAGTTGCATATTTTATACAACACAATTAATATGTATAAATAACCATATAATTTCATAATAATTCAAGTTTTAATTAAAATAAATTTGCTGTACTAATATTAACAATTATTCAGTATTATTCTATTAATATCAATAAATAATGAATTAATTAGATTAAAATATTAATTTTCGGGTGTATCGTATTACTTTTAAAATTTTAACGTACTTATAAAGTAATTAACAT